TTGCGGAAAGTATATGTATATAATGGTGAATACCTATATAGTGGCTTGTGTCTGCAGAAGCCCTTCAATATATTGAGGGCCTAAAAACGACTTGCCACGTATAGAAGACTTAAAAAAATAACCCTTGTGAATAAAAGGATAATAAAAGGCATATTAAAGAACTACCTCTATAAAATACCTAAAAAGGCTTCTAATTAAATACCTACATAAGACCCTTAGAAGGAACTATAAGCTTTCTATTTTACGATTATTTATCCTGTTCCGAATGTCTCCAAAGGAACACTTGGAACTGAAGTCCTTTCAAAGGCCTTCTCTAAACTAAATATTTCTCCAAAAGACTTATCTCCATAGAAAAGCACCCTTTCTTTCAGAAGAAGTGTTCGGAAAAATCTTCTATTTATTGAAGGTATTTCAAAAGCACTCCTATTCCAAATGTTTCTGTGAAGATCCTGAAGATCTTCTTTTTAAAAGAAAACCCCGGACTTATTAAGGAATACATAATAACGGACTTCTGCTTAAAAATTCAAAGAGGGGGTCTAAATCCTTTCAAAGGCCTTCTTCAAACTGAATATTTTTTCCAAAAGACTTTTCTTCCTTCTGCACCAAATGTTCCTCCGAAAACCCCAGAAGGTCTTCTGTTGGAAGAAATACCCCGGACTTATTAAGGAATACATATTGACGGACTTCTGCTGAAAAAATCAAAGAGGGGGTCTAAGTCCCTGCCCTTGAACTGTTTCCTGTTCAGAAGGTTTTGCAAAGGAACACATGGAACTAAAGTCCTTTAAAAGGCCTTCTCTAAACTAAATATTTCTCCAAAAGACTTATTTTCATAGAAAAGGCCCTCTTAGTCCTTTCAAATATATTGAATATTTTTTCCAAAAGACTTCTCTTCACAAAAAATGTCCTTTTCTTTCAGAAGAAGTTTTTGGGAAAATCTTCTTTTTATAGAAGGTATTTAAAAGCCTTTCTGTTCCAAAAATTCATACGAAAACCTCCTGAAGGTCTTCTGTTGGAAGAAAGACCCCTGACTCTTTTAGAAATACTTAATGGCGGACTTTTGTTGGAAAAAGACCTTCTGACCATGTTATATTGATAGAAAAGGAACCGTAGTCCCCCAATGGCAAAATTCCTCCTGAGCTTCTTCTATTGAGAAAAGACCTTCTGACCCTCTTTTATTTATGGAAAAGGAATCCTAGTCCCCCAATGGCAAAATTCCTCCAGAACTTCTTCTATTGAGAAAAGACCCCTGGAGAAGGTTCAATTGAAAAACGCCTAAAAAAAGATTTGCTAATGACGTTAATGGAGGGAAAATCCTTCCTTCAGAATGGCATTCTATTAAAAAAAATATTTTCTAATGACGTTTAATGGAGGGCATATCCTCTGACAATTTTTTTTTTTTTTTTTTTTTTGGAAAAATTCTGGAAATTTTCTTTTGACGATGAACGTGCAGACAAGTCCTCAAGACGATGTTCTATTAAAATATGTCCCTCAGAGGACGCTCTATTAAAAATGTCATCTAAAAGTCTTTTAGAGACAGATTTCGATTCAATTTAGGCAAGACTTGCCATAGGACCCCTGGCATTAGAGGACATTCTGAAAGTTGTCGCGGTCTTTTGAAAGAAAATATGCTGACCGTCTTCTGTAAAAAAATATCTCAGGATGGCCATCTATTAAATGAAGACACTCTAATGGGTTTTTCTTCAATTTCTAAACCCTGATATTTCCCAAGAAGATACTTTCTCTCTCTCTCACTCTCTCTCTCACTCTCTCTCTCTCTCTCACACTCTCTTTGAACGAACACTCGTACTTTTACAGGTGCTCTAAACCTGTAAAAGTACGCGTTGCCACGAAGAATCCTTTGAAATTCTCCCATCCTGTACTACCGCTAAACTCCCTTTTTTTCTCTTTCATAATTCCTTTGAACTGATTAACCTTCTCGAAAAGAAAAAAAAAAACCCAGTGAGTCCTTCCCAGTTCCTTTGCACTTCTCCATTGTAATCCACCAATAATGCCGAAACATAATAAACACCAGCATTTTCTGGCGACCATTTCGTTCCAGGCCACTGGCCACATCGTCCTTAGTTGCGACTCGCCATAACGGCCAATTGCCGTGGCGAAAAACAAGGATATGCATAATTTGGGTAGAGCTGGAGTTTAATTTAACACAACAATTCTGGCCAAAAGCCACTTACGGCACGAAGGCACTTGGCTGCCGTGGAAGCCAGCCTTGGCCTTCAGCAGGGGAGGCCAACAAGAACAACAACAACAACAACAACGGCAGCAGAAGATACTTTGCCATCAAGTCCTGTGTTGTAATTTTTCATGCTTTCCTGACCTGACTTTGCTGGTTGGGTGTTTTACTAAAGGTCCTTATTTATGGTTATTTATTGCACTTAACTCTCGCTCTCCCCCTCTCCCGCTCTCTCTCTCCTTTTTTGTTGCATTACATTTTATTATGTTGCTGCTGCTGCTGCTCATCTGCTTTTCTTTGTTGTTTCAATTTTTATTTTTTCCCCCATCACCACAATTGTCTGGGCAAAAAGAAGAGACTCCATAGAGAGGGTGAGGGGATTTGAGATCCTTGTTGTGATGTTGCTGCCGATTGTTTCATGTTTGCAATTAAAACTGTGTGTTGTCATGTTAAATGATATAAATTAATTATTTTCAACAGCCATAATAAATGGCTGCTGATGCTGTCGCTATTATTGTTGTGGCTATCTTTGCAACAATTGTTGTTGTTGTTGTGGCTGGTATCAGCAACATTACCAACGCCTTTTCCATCTTCTTCTTCTTCGTCATTGAGGAAGGCTAATTATTTTCATGTGCAGACGGTTGTGTGTGTGTGTGGTGAGGTTGCTTCTTTTTGTGGCCGGTTGTAGGTGTTGCCATTGCCATCGATATTGCCATCACCATCAGAATCTTCATCATTACATCCTTGACTTTCCATCCCTGGCTTTGTAATTTACACTTCATTTATTTAATGAGAGGACATCATGTTCAGGAGGAAATAATTCCAAGGAGAAGGTATTTTTATGGATAAAAAGAACTGTCTGGAAATCGACAAAGAGGCGGGTAACTTTCTGATGGACTTCTGTGGCCAGAGGAAACCTTGGATACATTCCGGCGATGGGTGAAATAAACAATCCATATAGGAGAGCTTCAGGTGTTCTTTAAACCTCCGCCATATGGAAGGTGGCCCATCGAAATTTGGGGTTTTAGGCCCCAGGTCTCTTTGCACCAACTCCGTTTTAGAACATTTGGAGTCGATCTACTGATGTCCATCCGCCCGCCTATCTGGTGCGCACGATAACTCTCGAACGGAGTATCCGATTTGGTCCAAACTTGAAACATCGTAATATTATACCGCTAGATCCTGAAAAGGATTTAGTCCGAAGAGACATAGGGCCAAAAGCCGTTATTTCGATGAGGCACGTTTTGGCTATATCAAATGATATATACCCTCTATAGTCACAGGGCTGAGGGTATATAAACTGTCTTCAAACAGCTGGGCAACTTTCTGAAGGACTTCCGAGGCCAGGGGTACACTTGAAAGTACTATAGGTGAAATAAAAATTGAAATTACAAATAGAAGAGATTCAGGTCAGTTTTTAGAAATTTTAATATTTCTACAAATTGTTCTCAATTCCTTTGGAGGCATTTTTCTTCAAAAAATGTTGGAAATACTTCTTTTTAGTGTAGGACCACCTGTCGGCATAACCTACAGAAATACTTCCCTCCTAGAAAAAATGTTCAATATTTTCGATTATTTGTTTTGAAATATTTTTTCATTATTTAAAAAAAAAAATCCGAATTTTGCAAAATAGCCCTGGAAAAACATCAAAATTAGTCCCAAAAAGGACCTTTAGGATATTTTTTATCCTCCGAAACCAGGTCAGGAGGTATTTTCACTGTAAAAGAGATGGGAAATCATTTATTATTAGAAATCTATCAGGACATTTCTATGCAGTGAGGAGGTCTTATTTTTATAGGAGAACCTCTTCTACCCATAAAATCCCTACTACCCTCTGTTGACGAGCGTTGAGAGATCTTCCTTTTGAAGAATCGCCAAGAAAGTTTTCTAGCTATAAGTTTTCTAACTATAGAAGATCATCAGGGGGACTTCTGCATATGGAAGGCTATCTGGGGATCTTCTGCCTAGAGAAGACCTTCAGGAGGACTTCTGTATATAAAAGACCTTCAGACCTCCTCTCTCTATAAGACGGCCAGAGGAACTTCTTTCCACAGAAGTACGTCTTCTGACTTCAGAAACCGCCAGGAAGATTTCTATTTATTGAAGACCGTCGGGACGTCAACCGTCAAAATATCGTCTGCCAACAGAAGACCTTCAGGAGGTCATCTCTTCATAGAAAACCAGCAAGAAGTCTTCTGTCCATAGAAGAGCGTCAAGAGGTCTTCTGTCTATGGAATACCGTTAGGACATCTTCTGGCCACAGGAGACGTCCAGAAGGTCTTCTATCAATGGAAGGCCGACGGAAGGGCTTCTATATACCGGAAATTTTCAGGAGACCGCCATGGGGCCTTCTGTCTACAGAAGGCAGTAAGCAAGTCTATAGAAAAATTTCAGGAGGACTTTTATCTAGGAAAGGTGTTCAGAAAGTCTTCTGTGGTCCTTCAGGAAGTCATCTCTTCATAGAAATCCAGCAAGAAGTCTTCTGTTCATAGAAGAGCATCAGGAGGTCTTCTATCTATAAAGTACCGTCAGAACGTCTTCTTTCTGTGGAATATCGTTAGGATATTTTCTGGCCACGGGAGAAGTCCAGAAGGTCTTCTATTAATAGCAGACCGACGAAAGGGCTCCTATATACCGGATATTTTCAGGAGACCGTCAAGAGGTCTTCTGTCTACAGAAGGCAGTTAGCAGGTCTATAGGACAACGTCACTAGGACTTTTATCTAGAAAAGTTCTTCAGAACGTCTTCTGTCTAAAGGAAACCCCCAGGATATTCCGCCTCAAGCTTTGATTCATTGGTTTTATTTTCAAAATTTTTCGATTTTATTTTATTTTCATTTATTTTTTCCAAATTTCGCATTCCGATCTACGTCGTTTTCCCAAAAGAAATGCTCATCACAGAAGAATTTCACAAAATTGCCCTGGAAAAACATCGACGCCGTTTGCGTGAGGCCAAAGCCATTGTGGACCACAAACCACCCATTCTGCATGTTGGCAACTTTTCCAGATTTTCCAAACTCAAGGACGATGTTATGACATTTGTGGAGCGGAATAAAACCAATGCCGAGCTATTGGTCCACCTGAATGAGATTTTTCGTACGAGAGGGGCCACCGATTCATTTCGCACCACGGAAACGGCTTTGGCGGCCAGCAATCTGCCCATAAGACTGAGGGAGCTGCATAAAATTGAAATGGAAAACATGGAAATGGGCAAGAGGATTCTATGTACGCAGGGGGAGTTGGACACGTGGCAGGATCCTACGAAGTTAAGGAAGCCAAAGAAAAGGAGGCCCGCGAAATTTCTTGTGCCCCATGGGATTCTGAAGAAATATTCCCAGCTAAAATTACCAGAGGACCATAAGAAACTGAAACTGGTCCTAAGACCCATGGTGTGGTTGGAACTGGAAGTGAAGAACATACGACCACTTGGACGCATTGCCGTGCAGTTGTACACCGAAGCTGCTCCTGGGGTGGTTTTGGAATTTATAAAACTCTGCCGCGAGGAGAAAAATCAAAAATTGGAATTTGTGCGCCTTTTCCCCAGCCTGTGGTTGGAGGGTACTTTAAGGCTGTCAGATAAGTCATTGGTCTCGAAGCCTCTGGAATATGACAAAAGGGCCCTGGATCATGGGAAATATGCTGGGATCCTTTCGCTTTCGTTGGATCATTTGAAATATCACAAGAAGGGTTTGTTCTATTTTGCCATTAGCTTTAAGCCATTGGGAGTGCTAAATGGCAAACGTGTTGGATTTGGCCGTGTCGTGGAGGGTCTGAAGTCATTGAAGTCCATCGAGGTCTATGGTACGAAAAATGGCAAACTTACCAAGGAAATTGTGGTCTCCAAGTGTGTGGTTGATGTTAAATAAAAGAGGTTGGTGAAGAAAGCAATGTCTTTGCATCAATCAAATCTCGAAGAGTACGCAAATGGTCCTTCCGGAAGGGGGATATTTTCCATAGGAATAGCAGGGATCGGGTTGATTTCCATGGGACCAAAAGTCATTTGGAGAGATTCCTAATGGCATAATATACAAAGAGCCAAAGAGTTATGACCACTTCAAGGGAATCGAAAAGTTTCAAGGAATCTTAGAGTTGGGGATACTTCAGGAGAGTTCTTGGCGGATTACTTTTCGAAGGATTCAACACCTCCTGACAATTAACTATAAAGAAATTTATCTTGCGTGACCTTCTTAATATAGGATATTAACAGGGTAGAAGATCTGCTGACTGCCTTCTATGGGCTTTCTTCTCTAGTCGGAGAAAATCCTGACGGCCTTCTCTGAATAGATGATGACCTGAGGGTCTTTTGTAGACAGAAAACCTGCTGACGATTTTCTATAGGCAGGAAACCCCCTGAAGGTTCCTCGTAAGCAGAAGAACACCTCCTTAAGGTTCTCTATGGGCAGAACACCACCTAAAGGTCTTTTATGGACAGAACACCTCTTGAAGGTCTTCTATTAACATAAGTCCTCCTAACGGTTTTCTATAAATAGAAGTCCTAAAAAATTTCCATAGCCTGAAGACCTACTAAAGATCTATGGACAGAAGACCTCCTAAAGGTCTTCTGTGGAGAGAAGACCTCCTAAAGGTCTTCTGTGGAGAGAAGACCTCCTGACGGTCTTCTTTGGAGAGAAGACCTCCTGCCGGTCTTCTATGGATAGAAGACCTCCTAACGGTCTTCTGTGGAAAGAAGACCTCCTGACGGTCTTCTATGGATAGAAGCTATGAAAAGCTCTTCCAGAAGGACTTTTTGTGCGACTCCTTGATGGTCTTCTGTGAAAAGAAGACATCCTGACGGTCCTCCATACACAGAAGAACTCCTTCCGGTCTTCTATGGATAGAAGACCTCCTGACGCTCTTCTATGGATAGAAGCTATGAAAAGCTCTTCCAGAAGGACTTTTTGTGGGACTCCTTGATTGTCTTCTGTGAACAGAAGACCTCCTGCCGGTCTTCTATGGATAGAAGACTTCCTGCCGGTCATCTATGGATAGAAGACCTCCTGCCGGTCTTCTATGGATAGAAGACCTCCTGCCGGTCTTCTATGAATAGAAGACCTCCTATCGGTCTTCTGTGGTTAGAAGACTTTCTGGCGGTCTTCTATGGATAGAAGACCTCCTGGCGGTATTCTATGGATAGAAGACCTCCTGGCGGTCTTCTGTGGATAGAAGACCTCCTGGCGGTCTTCTATGGATAGAAGACCTCCTGGCGGTCTTCTATGGTTAGAAGTCCTCCGGCCTGTCTTCTATGGATAGAAGACCTCCTGCCGGTCTTCTATGGATAGAAGACCTCCTGCCGGTCTTCTATGATTAGAAGACCTCCTATCGGTCTTCTGTGGTTAGAAGACCTCCTGGCGGTCATCTATGGATGGAAGACCTCCTGGCGGTATTCTATGGATAGAAGACCTCCTGGCGGTCTTCTATGATTAGAAGACCTCCTATCGGTCTTCTGTGGTTAGAAGACTTTCTGGCGGTCTTCTATGGATAGAAGACCTCCTGCCGGTCTTCTATGGATAGAAGACCTCCTGGCAGTCTTCTATGGTTAGAAGTCCTCCGGCCTGTCTTCTATGGATAGAAGACCTCCTGCCGGTATTCCATGGTTAGAAGTCCTCCGGCCTGTCTTCTATGGATAGAAGACCTCCTGACGGTCTTCTATGGATAGAAGACCTCCTGACGGTCTTCTATGGATAGAAAACCTCCTGACGGTCTTCTATGGATAGAAGACCTCCTGACGGTCTCCTATGGTTAAAAAACTTCCTGACGGTCTTCTATGGTTAGAAGACCTCCTGACGGTCTTCTATGGTTAGAAGACCTCCTGACGGTCTTCTATGGATAGAAGACCTCCAAATGGTCTTCTATGGATAGAAGACCTCCTGCCGGTCTTCTATGGATAGAAGACCTCCTGACGGCCTTCTATGGATAGAAGACCTCCTGCCGGTCTGCTATAAATAGAAGACCTCCTGACTATGTTCTGTAGACAGAATATCTCCCAGAAGTCTTCTCTAGATAAAATCGGTCTTCTATGGATAGAAGGCCCCCTGACGCTCTTCTGTAGACAGAATATCTCCTAAAGGTCTTCTCTGTATGAAATCCCTTCCAAGGAGTAGAAGACCTCCTGAAGACCTTTTTGAAGGCTTTCCTTATTAAAAAGAAAACTCCATTATGCTCTTCCCAAAAGCCCGGCACAAAAGCTGCTTTTCCGAAATGTGTCCTTGGCACACATTTCCTTTGAAATTGGTTTCGCATACATTCCTATTTATTATTTCATTACATTAGACATCCTTCTCCACTGCATCCGCCTCCTCCACCTCCTTGCCGACTTATTATAATACGCCTTAAGACCCTTGGAATTTTTGTGCTCGTGTATGAACTTAATTTGTGTGACCGTGTTAATGACATAATTACGGCAACGGCATTAAAATTAACGAAAATGTTGCTTTGACAACCGGCATATGTCAAAGGTCTCGTTCAGATACAAATACATACATATATTACACATGTATAGATGTATGTGTGTGTGTGTAGTTGTGGGAGTAAAAGCCAGCTGTAATATTTTATGAATGTGTCTTAAGAAAATGGCAAACAAATGCCACGAGACTTGGCTACTTCCTTAACTCAATTCATGTGAACGCCTAAAAGTATGCTTTAAATTTGCAACTATTAGGGATTCTTGCATTTCTGATAAGAAATTTGAGAGTATGTCCCTAAATTTGTTTAAAAAGGACTATGCAGACATGTTTTAGGGAAAGTTAAGACTTTTGCGACCCCTATCACTCCCCCCCCCCCCAAACCGCAATGGCCTTTGCCAAAAAAAATGGCGAACGCTTACAAAATTTACAACTCCTATAACAATATTTTATTTTTTTAAACGAAAAATAAGCAGCAGAAAGCCATTGCAAAAGTGCAAACATAAAATGAAGCTGCAGTCCAAAAAAATATAGAAACAGAGAAAGGAAAACCACCCAGACCCGAATCAAGCCATAAAACTATTTCCATCTTCACAGCAAATTTCCCAACCATTTTTCTTCTTAACCCGACAACCAACCAACCAAACGTCAGCACTGGATTGAACATTGCTGAAATAAGCGAGCGTATAAAAAACGCCAGGAATAAAAGTTAACTATAATTTAATGCGGAACCGCGAAAAGACCCAGTGCAAAAAAGAGGAAAACACAGAGAACCGTACCACTTTACATTAACCCATTTCCTTGGCCTGGGGCAGGGGAAGGGTTAGGGAAGCTGCAGGTAAAACTGCGGAATTTTCAAATAAATGTAAATTTGGTAACACGTTTTCCACAATTGCTGAACATAAGAGAAAAAAGAAAGGGAGGAGGGGGGGGGATTCCTTTGCCAAGAATCGAATAAATTTTAAATGTGTGACAGTTCCAGCAATGCTGTTGGGAAGGTAGGGGAAATTCGTTTTAAGAGCAACAACAATGTAAACACTACCAATTAATTTTTGGGAAACAAATCCTGAACAAATTTGAAATGTAGAAAAAAAGGACCCTTTTTTCGGAGGGAAAAAATTTGGGTTGTAAAAGAAACAATGGAAATTTCTTTGGAGGATACAACAATAAAGACCTGTGAAGGACTTCGTGATGAATTTCACTTTAATTAGACGGAGGAACTTAGTCAAATGTTAAGTGCTGAGAAAAAGGATAATTCGACAAAGTTTTAGGGGCAAAAAACTTAATTAAGTCAGGTCACTCCACAAAGTTTTGGAGGTTTCCATTGAAAAAACGCAGTAAAGGAACATTTTTCTATTGAAAATTTCAAATCATCCAAGTTTTTGGAACCGGAAACCCGATTTAGCGGAGTTTTCCCAAAATACATTTCAACTCAGCCAGCAATCTTTATTCGGCAACATATTCTTATAGAAAGCGGCTACTCTGCCACTTAATTAAGTCAGGTCACCCCACAAAGACCTGCAGTCGGGTATGGGGGGTTTCCTTTGAAAAAACACAGTAAAGCAACATTTTTTTATTGAAAATTTCAAATCAGCCAAGTTTTTGGGACTGGAAACTCGATTCAGCGGAGTTTTCCAATAATACATTTCAACTCAACCCACATTCTCATAGGAATCCGCTACTCAGCAAAATTTCCACGAAGGAAGCCGCTGAGAAGCTTTTGTGCAGAGAAACCTAATTCAGCTATGATTCAATAGACTTTTTATCCCTTCAGACTCAGTGGCCCTTAGCTCATCAATAGAGACTCTCGGGCTCTTCCGCTCTTCTATAAAGACTCTCGGGCCCTTCAGCTCTTCTATAAAGACTCTCGTGCCCATTAGCTCGTCTCTAGAGACTCTCTTTATGGCCAGCTACAGAGGGTATACGAATCCTTCGATTCACCCAAAATGTACGTCATGTAAATAACTGTGTTGATTCCTAAGTCTCTTTCAAGGAATTCCGTTTCAGGACATTTGGAGTCCATTTAGCGGTGTTCGCCCGCCCGTTTGTCTGTCTGGCTCGAGTGCACGATAACTCTCAAAGAGAGTATCCGATTTGATCCAAGCTTGGCACATGGTAATATTATTGTCAAACTTAGATCGTGTTCGTAGGTGGACAATATCTGTTCACTTCTTCTGGTACCTCCCCCAAAAAAGGTCAAAATTTTCCAAAGAAAACATTTTTAGGAAGACAAAGGATCTTCCATTTATATTCAAATTTTGTAGATCTTAATATTTGTAACAGTGCTAGATCCGGCGTGAAAATCGACAATATCGCTCGACTCCTTTTAGTACCTCCCGCACAAAAAGTCGATTTTTTTAAAGAAAATATTCTTTTTCATAGGATGACAAAGGATCATCCGATCATGTTCAAATTTTGTAGATCTTAATATTTGTATCAGTGCTAGGTCCGGTGCGAAAATCGACAATATCGCTCCACTCCTTTTAGTACCTCCCCCTCAAAGGGTTAAAATTTTGAA